ACGAAGAGCGATGCCTGGTGATCAAACACTTAGAAGACAAGCTGCGCACGTGACATCAACAGTGCTAGTGGAGGTAAAGACAAGTTATCAACGTTGCCCACATCCCTAGATACTTACGGACAACCCTCGTACCATCGTTGCGAACAAGCCACAGTGGCACAGATGCCTCCCCACTTTCCGGCGATCTCCGGGGTGATGTAGCCTCGGATCCGGCCACAGGCTACGGGCTAAAAGTAATATGTTGGTCATGGTTACGGGCTCTCTATCTGCGTATCGAGCTGTCTGCCTGTCTACCTATCCATCCACTGCTCGATCTCTCTTAGAGGTTGCGGGTGGGCCGCTGTTTCTGGACGAAGCTTCCTTAAGCAACACAAGAGTCCGGTCAGACCCATGCCCCCAGACGGAAGCCCTTCGCACTGTCGACCTTGAGCCCTTCCCCATCGTGGTTTCCAAGGCCAGCAGCCCATGGTTGCGAGCATGGCAACGCGGCCGTGCCTGTGCAAGGAAAGGCGTGCGAGTGCTCTTGCAAGAAGGTTCAAAATACTCCAAATAGTCACAGGCGCACTCCCACCCAGAGACAACTGCCGCGACTGCCACCACCAGCACCACTTGCAGCACCACTAGCACGACCAAGACAGCTTTCTACAAAAATACTACTACCATCATCACCCCCACCCTTTGGAATCCCGTGTGCATGCTGTCTCGCAACACTGGCTGAGCGTCGAGGACGTGCCTGGGGTTGGGAGGCTTTCGCTTAAGGGTGTTTTGGGACGGCGGCTGGACGGTCCGAACTCAAATCTAGCGCAGCTGCTTGATCTCAACGGCGCGGCGTCGCTTGAAGTTCTCGGCGCTGCCGTCCTGTCAACAGGCTTTTCACGCGAGCATGCAGTTAAAACATGCAGAATTCGCTTGTCCGATCACGGGAAGTCGACTGGGGTCGCTGGTTCAACTTAAGACCCACATGCCAGGGGAACAGTGGCAAGTCAAGCGCCTAGAACCTCAACTTCATGCCTGCCGCACTGGGCACTGCCCAAGCCAGCATGCGACGACGACGACGACGACGAGGATGATGATGATGATGATGATGACTACGACGAGTATGATGATGACGACGACGAGTATGATGATGATGATGAGGATGATGAGGATGATGATGAGGATGATGATGATGATGATGACGATGATGACGATGATGATGACGATGACGACGATGATGAAGATGATGACGATGATGAAGATGATGACGATGATGACGATGACGATGACGACGATGACGATGATGATGATGATGATGGTCGTGGTGATGGCGATTGGTGATAGTGATGGTGATGAACGTTAGGGTGAGGATGATGATGATGATGATGATGATTATGATGATGATTATGATTATGATGATGATGATGATGATGCTGATGGTGATGGTGATGATGATGATGATAATGATAATGAAAACCAGCGAACTTGGACTGGGAGGGCGACGATTTCATGCTCTTGCAGATGACGTGACGTTACTCGTTAACATTTAATATGACTGCCAAGTTTTGAAAGAAGGATGAGATGCTAACTGACATTGCGGCCCGCACATGCAACACATCAGCCAATCAAGTGCACAGCAGCTTCCACTGGAAAGTTTTACAATCTTGCGGGAACGTGCCTCAAAAAGGAGTTTACCAAGTACCTCGAGAAGCAAACCTCGTGTAAGTAAGTTGCACGTGACTCTCGAAGTCCTTGGTGAATCCGACGGGATCCCAAAATCCGAGAGGTGGCTGAGCACCCAGCTCCTGGGACAGGCTCTTGTTTTGGGGTTCTTCAAATCGGACTTGGGGGAAGTGTTCAAGGTTGGAGCTTTCGGTGCCTGCTCTTGAGTTGCAGTAGAACAAAGCCCCTTCTTTACTTTACCTCTTCAGGCACCTATAATAAAACCCTGTTGGGCTCCCCCGGATTGCCAATGGATTCGGCGCAGACCTTGACAAACCCTAACCCCCTAAGCCTTAGAGATCCAAGACCACAGCAGTAGAGGTGTCTCAACCATCAGGGCCCTTCTTAACTTCTTGGTACCCCGTGTTTCGCATAGCTGGGCGTAACGAGCATGATGGTGATCGTGATAATCTTTGCTATCGTAATCTTCATTGTTGCTCTTGCTCTCCTTACCGTTATTGCTTCTCGAACAAGCATGACGGCCAGTCCTGCTCGAAGGCGCGCAGGGGCGAGTCGGTGTAAAGGGCCCAGTCACCTCGGCCGAGTGTCTCGGAGACCCCCAAGGGCCCAAATGCAGCTTGGAACCGCGTAGTTCAGGGTTGCTGTTCCCGGGTCTAAGGGCACAACCAGGAGGGAGGTGGATGAAAGATCAGGAAATGGATTTAATCTAGGATTGCTAAGATCTTGGATTTGTTGCTGAGGCTTCTGGGATTGCGCACTCGGCCATGTTAAAAGAAGACCTGACACACTGCCAACACATGTAAACTTTTCCCAAGACGTGGCAGATTATGGGAACAACAACAACAACAACTCAAAGATAGCCCGGCTCCTTCATTCAGGGTTCAGGCCTTCCATCACTAGGTAACGACATCTGCGCGAAAAGCCAGATACAAGAACAACAAACCGCTCATTACAGAAACTATGGCACACGCAGCCGGAATGTGGACCCCCTACAGTTTTGGAGCCTTACCAGCCTGAAGGTAAGCTACCAACCAACAAGCCGGCCGGACTTCCAGAAGCTTCGAGATACATGTACATTAAGCCCTAAACTTACTAAACCTCCTAAGCCCTCGAAGCCCCGACCCTGGGAACCGCCACCCCCCACAATTACCGATGTTTGTCCCTAGGCCTCCTTAGTATACTTACACTATAATACACCCCCCCCCCTCCCAACCCCTTCGGCTCTTTTTTGGCCAGCCAGGGCTCCCCAGGCAGAGCCGGTCAGGCCATCCTGGAAGAGCATGCCTGGGTCAGGGATACAGGTAATACTACTCCTCAGGGTTCCTGCGAAAGAAAAACAAAACCCTATTCCAGTCATGATGGGGCTCTCGGGTGTTGCTAGGAGGACAGGGTTATGAGAGTTTGAGTAGAGTCTAGGGTCAAGTGTGCCTAGTTTTGGGGCTTCTTCTTCTATACCATCAAGACAGGCTTGCAGTGACACATTTTCCTGAAAGCCCTACTCTCCGTGCAGTCTGTGCCAGGGTGCCGATGATGGCCATCATCGCAAGGCGTCCGTTTGCAAGCTCCGCCGAGAGCTTGCGAGTGCGCGCCTGGCAATTGGAGTTTAGGTTTGGACGGTTTGGAGTCTGGGAAGTCACTGGGGGAGTCTGGGGTCTACTGTAAGATTTGGGGCCCCTGGAAAAGCGCCGGAGCTCGGCCTCGGGGTCGGCCACAGAGGGCAGGAAGCCCAGACCCAGGTTGCCCTTGCCTGGACTCTTTCGGATGGAAGCAGGGTTTCTTTGGGGCGGTTGCTTTTTGAGATGGCAAGATTGGGGGGGCCGGGGAGTCTTGTGTTGGAGGTGGCGGAGAGTTTGGGGCTGGGTCGCGCGGGTTGGCGTTTCGAGCCCGCCTTTGGAGTCTCTCTTGGGCATCGGGAATACGAACCGGTCCGGTAAGGCGTAATCAGCTTGGAACAAGCACCCCCAATCAATAGAGGTGCCTGAAAGGCCAAAACGGTTACACACAGACCTTGAAGAGACTCCCGTATCACGCCCCTCACCTCCCCTCCCTGAACCATAAGCTCGATCCCAGGTGCCGTAGTTGCCAGGCTCATCGCCAACCTGAGCAGAATCCCTTGACCCTGGGGTTCAAGAAGGTTTTGATCTCAGGGCTGCAAACACAATTCCTAAGCAACCACCGAACCCAACAACCCTTGCAAGCCCAACCCAGTAAATCCCGATGCCGAAATCACAAATTACCGAACCTCCAACCACCTGCGCGCCCTGCGCCCCCTGCGCCGGATCGGCCCCAAACCCTACATCCTGGACCGCCTGGACCAGCCGAACCCTAACAGAGAAATCACCTCTGGATCAAGCACAGCATCAGCAAGACACGAAACGCAACGGCTTTCCCCTGCAACAAGCAACGGGCTCTGCTCCAGTTGCTGTAGGACTAAGCCCCTGCAAGCCTAAATCAAAGCCCTAAAGAGCCCCTTGAAGAGACCTGAATTGGAGAAGGGGCCGGCTTGTTGATGAAGAGCTCATAGGTGCCCAGGAAGGCCACAATCTGCCCCCAGCCCTGACCTGCTCACAGGAGGTGGACTGAGGTCGGGGCCAGGGCCCATACGGGCTTGGGGTATGAGGTGACAGGTCAGCACTAGTCGTTGGAAGTTGTAGAGAAACCTAGGATTTGAGGCCTGGAAGCGCTTCAGGGCCAGTCTCAGCCTCGACCTGAGGCTATGTTGCACTTGCTTCCCGACGCCCTGAAAAATTAACAAGCCCTGAACTCTTGTTTCAGCAACTTCAAAACCATCAAGAACGACGAAAGCCTCCCGACTCGCAAGCCTCTTCCTGAGTCTCTTAGCCCTGCAATCCAGGAGCCTTGCATCCCAAAAATCCCACAAACGGGATCTAGGAATCTAGGGTTTTTTGACGAGGGACTTCCGAAAAGGTAGAAGCATTTGTGTGGCGAAAGTGTTTCATCGTCATAGTTGTTAGTGATCATGCTCATGGTCACTGTTGTCATCACGACTATGCATGCACGAAATTCATCACCAGTAGAAACTGATGTTTCTCAGCTTATCGCATCAGCGCGGACATCTGGCAGGCTCAGAAAAGACTGGCCATAATCGAAATCCTAAGCCGTCCGATTCTTAATAAAGGACCCGTGAAATCAAGAAACCCTGCAGCTCCACAAATCCCAAGAAAACCCTCGAACAGAAATTGTGATAACCTCAACCCCCTTGTAGCACCCCGTTAATGCCCGTGTATTCGAAGGCAGCCATCACGAGCCACCCGGGGGGCGCCTGGCACCTTCGTCAAAGCAGCGAGGCCATTGGGGATGTCCGTGAACTTCAGGCCGAGCTTCGGGGAGAGCTCCTGAGCTTCTTTGCAATAAGGCTTCATGTCAAGGCATCTCTAGAGGGTGTGTTCAGGGATTTGCTGAAGAGTGTGTATGGTTGTGTAAAGTTGTTCTATCGGGGTTTCTATACAGGTTCTACCATTGTTCTCCAGGGTTCTATGTGTCGCGACATGAGGACGGTAGGGGTTTAGGGCTTTTGGTGTTTAGGGCGTAGGGCGTTGCGGGCTTGAGGGTGCTTGGGGCTTAGGGCTTTAGGGGTAGTTCCTCAAAAGCAAGCTACCGTCATCCGATGGTTGCTGTGAGCGGCCGCCTGTTTTGCCAGGGATTGTCGCGGTGCCCTCCGTGGCGGGTCCAGTCCAGATGTGACATGCTGGTTTCAACAGGCAGTCCGATTAAGGTTGAGGATAGCCTTCCAACAACCCCAGGCTTTGGGGTTCAGAGCTTGCGAGTGGCCTCCATGTTGCTTGGTGGATGATGATATGTGTTGATAAAACAAAGGTAAACACCATTTATGCCATCTGAGCTTTTGCCCTAAGCCTTCCAAACAGGAAAGCTTGAAACACCCAAGGCTTGGGATGCACGAAACCACAACAGTTCTAACAAGCTTCTCCAGGCCAGCGGAAGTACTCCGGCACGATGTAGCCTCGGTCTAGCGCACATAAGGAGCCCGCAGAAACCCATGGCCTTGGGTTTGGATTGCCGAGGGCGCTGCCGATGGTGGCGAACATGGAGATACCTTGAGTCATTTTGATTTTCATAGGAAACTATGATTTGGGACAATTCAGGCTTCTTTATTCATGGCCTAGGGTTTGGGATGTGAGGAACTGTAGGTTTAGGATCTGGCGGACTTCAGGGCCCTGAATCTGAACCCGAGATCCGAGGCCCTCAATCTTTCGAGCGCATGCGCTCTACGCAAGGAGGGGCCCTGAAGCCCCAAGTCTCTCTCCCTGTATCTCTGTCTCTTTTCTTCTGCTGGTCTCGCTCTCTCTCACTCTTTCATCTTTCTCTGTCTTGCCATCGTTAAAGAACCGAAAGGAGCTACAACTGGCGTCGAAGCAAACGCTCTATACCCAAGCCAGCACTGGTTCAAAAGGTCAAAAATCTGGTTCCAGAAGGTCAAACGTCTTGTCCCGGCGTATATGCAAGTTGTAGGCCGCGGTGCGTCCGTGCTTCAGCTCCACCTCACGGCCTCAGAGCGATGCAGGGCTGCATTCTTAAAATCCAGGCTGGGCAGTTCTTTCAGAAAGCAAAATACTGCTTCCTCGGGTACTATGCGGATGATCTACTTGGATTGGCAAGGGCTGTTTCGGAGTAAATGTGGGAACCCTACACCCTGAAGCGCAGCAGACAAGCCCAAAACCACCCCTAAACCATGGTACCAGCATGATGCTTCCGGATTCCCAAAAAAGACCGATGACCCTGCCGAGGCACGTCGCTTGAAGACCTCGGCGTCGCCATCCGCCGAGAGTCCCAGAGGATCCTGGGGCTCAGCAGTTCGGGCTTCAAGGCCTTAGTACTTAGGGCTCGCAGGGCTCGTAGGGTCTTACGGCTGATAGGGCTTTGGGTCTGGGATTTTCGCCTTGGGGTATCGGATTTGGGGTTGCAGCCAGTTGCTAGGGTGTTCAGGTTGGAGGGGATTGGGGGCAAACCAAACTCACAAATGCCCGGCTATAATGGGCAGAAGCCGGATAGCCCCCAAACACAAACAACAACACCTCGGCGAGTTCAGACATTGGGCAATAAGACCAGGATTATCCACTCATTCGCCGTGGGTAGGTGAGTGGTCTCACGTGTCCTGAATGAAGCGACGGTTGGTACAGGATCTCGGCTTTAGGATTTAGGCTGGAAGTTTTCCCTGCTTGGGCTTTCGGGACCTTAGATTTGACTCTGAACCCTGTACTCCGACTAGGGCTTCGGTTTCGGAAGATCGAGATACGCCTTGAATCACAGGGTCCCCAATACGAAGACCCACAGAAGATCAGGGGCCACCAAGAGTCTGAAGTTCAAAACTTTGCATTGACCAAGGGAGCATATGCAACCGCGGCGCCCAGAATCCCACGGGCGCCTGGACGCCAAGCTCACCTCGGAAGCGAGAGGGACTTGATCATTTGCGAACTGTGGGGGTTTGAACCCGAAGCCCGGAGACCCAAGACCATGTGCGCCAAGGCCAAACCTCAACCTGAACCCCCCTACCCGTGAAACCCTGCCCAGCCAAATCTGTCAGGGTTGAGGCTAGAGTGCTCAAGACATCATGTGAAAGCGGGAAGTAGCACAATGGGGGAGCTGGGGCGACGTGCTATATGCATGTGTGCATGTGTTCTTGTAGGTTTTGCTAGGGGCGCTGGGTGGCTTTGGCTGCAAACGCTGCAACAAGCCCGGGGCATAGCAATGGCTGGCTGCAAGGTATCTTTAAGCTTTAGGTGCCGGTGTTTAGAGCTACGAGCCTAATGGCTGAAGCCTTGTCCGTCCAGCGTTTGGCGCTTGCCTTGCCTGGTAAACAAGTAGCTCCCAGTGCTCGTCCAAGAGGCCCTCGAAGGCTCGGAGAGGCGATGCGGTGTACAGCGACCAATCACCTCGGCAGGTTCGAATCAGGATTTCAGGATTTGGCTTCGCAAGGCGGTTTCCGCTTTGAGCGGCACTCCTGTAAACAGGTTCCAAACATTGAATGTCCACAGCCCAAGAACCCAAACACCCCGCACTCCAGGAACTCTTCTTGCCGTGCGGCCCCAAGCAGAGCCAGTAAGCCCGTCCTCCGAGTGCGCAAGGCATGAAACTCTGTCGTTGACTGTGACTAGAACGGGCTTCGTGGTTGTTTACACGGCTTTTTGCCTTAACGGGAGTCTCTCGTTTGCGGGTGGGAATGATACTTTAATCAAAACAAGGTTGGAAAGGAGTGACACCGTCTACTACTTGTTCTAATCACTCCTGTGTTCTTCTTTCGTTGTGGCCCCGCTGTTTGTTCGCTTGGGCTGCAAGCTTTTCAAGGAGAAGGAAGACGCGCTCTTACTAGGATCCACTGCTTCCCTCCGCATGCGCCTAGGGCCTGTGCGATGCGCTTCCGGAGCTTGGGTGTTGTCGGGCATCGCAGGTTGCAGCCCATCTTCGGGCGTGTGGAAATCATTTTGATTGACTGCCACCAGATTTTGCACCTGATTGGACGGCCCGGCGACAGAACTGGGACGAAGAAGGTTTGGTATCGCACACATGCTTAGAGTTTGCTGTTGCACACCTCGTCTTCAAACATCTGCAGGCACATGCGTGGACCCTGAACCCCGGAAGAGCCAGCCGCTTAACTGCCGAACGCTTAGGACACCCCTTGACCCTCGCTAAAGCTGAAGGGGAAGGGCCTGGAAGAACATGCCAATGATGGCAAACATGGCAAGACGTCCGTTGGCCAACCTGAGGCTTCGTGTTGGCCATGGACTTGAACCGTAGCCTGCACCACCAAAACAGCCTGAACCTGATCTTCAAGAAACCTTGCACCATGGGGACAGGGATGTGGGCTGCAAGTCTTCTGGGAACCATTGCTGAGGCCCGAAAGCTGAAAGCCTCGATCTTTCAAGGCTGCAGGAGCCACGCAAGGCAAGCAAGAAGCCCCATGTCACAGCCGCCAAACCTAGCGAAATTATACGTAGGTACCCGTATACTGTAGGCAGAAAGAACAACTAACAAGACGACAAAATGCCCAAACGACAGAAGACACATCAAAAGTATGTTCAGCTTTGCATTGGAACTTTCGGCCCCCAGGTTTGCTGCCACGGAACTCCGCATTGAGCTTCTTCTTTCGCGTCTCTGGGTCCTTCAGACTTGGAGATGAAGGCGCAGAGCGTGAAGTGGGGGGCGTTGTTGGCTGAGTGTCTTGGAGAAATCAGTGGCTACAGGACAAGCATGATCCAGCAACCGTATTAATGGCATGACTGCCGTCCTCACGGGGACACGGCAGGCATGGCATGGGGCAAGTTGAAGCTGAAGTGCGTGGGTGTCGGGCATCGCAACTCGAGTTTGAGGCCATGGTCCCGCAACTGAAGGGTTAGAAACCAGGACTCTAGCATGATGGCTCATGATGGATCGGCTGCGCCTCCATAGCACTCCGACCATCCCGTATTTCAAATCCTTCAAGAGCTAATGACGCCTCGTGCTTGCCTGCATCTATGAAACCATGTTCTTGCTCTGAAAAAGGTTACGATTTGGGCTGTAGGAACGGGGTCCCCAAGCCAAAACCTGAGGACCCCCACGTCCAAATCCAGACCCTTTAAACTACTGAATGAACGCGGGCATGTGCGCTTCGGATATCAGATTTAAGGTTTCATTGTTGTAGGTCGGGTCCTCGATGCCGGTGTTCATGATGCCGATGGACCTGGAAGGATGCTAGCGACAGCTCCCAACAACCCTCGTGAAAAAACAGCCTTCAGGGGTCAGAGTTTCAGGTCCCGGTGTTAGGCGTCATGGGACGGATCGGAAGTACTGGGCCTTGGGTTCAAAGTTGACTTACCGGGTTTGGAGGCGGTTTCGGCCTGTTCGTGCTCTGCGTGCACCCTTTAAGCACGGTGAGCCTACTGATCTGTCCTCAGATGTCTACCTCTCTATCCATCTACCTCGATACAAACGCGTATATGCAGACATGCAGATCGACAGACTCAGTGATTGATGAAAAGTTGGCTAGATGAAAAGATTCCCAGAACCCTGGAGCGAAATAAAGCTGAACATCCTCCAAAACCCGCAATGATCCAAACCCTTCCCAAGCTCAGCACCCTTTGTTGTCTTGTACTTTCGCTTGTGCTTTCTTCTGGGCCCCGCCTCAATCCGAGGAAACCGGCGCCGTAGTTGCCGGGCTCATCCTTGACTTGCTCGTTGTAGATCTCGGCGTCCCGTGGAATGCAGCGCTTTTTGTGCTTTGCAAGATGAGGCTTTGAGGTTGAAAACTTGGAGGCGCCGTGATCGCTTAGCGGGCCAAGTGTTTCGGGGCTTAAGGTTCAGGGCTGGATTGCGGGGCTTATGGTTCATGACGGTTTAAAGTTGAAAGCGCTGGTTGACACGACAACAAAAGTCCAAAGCCTCTTGGCTGCTGGGCAAAGATAAAAGAAACTGGTTGTAACCCCCCATTTCGCAGTCTCATCTCGACAGGGACGGCCGCACGACTTGATTCCGATAGGTGCAACGACATAAAGCGGGCTCCACGGTGTTACCGTGTTGAGCTCTTTGACAGAAAGCAAGGCATGAAATGGAGCCGCCCAAATCCTGAACCCGAATCCGAGAAGGTGAAGACTTGAGTCCTTGGGTTGTAGTTTCCATTTGGGGAACTCGGTGCAGCCAGATATGATGAAAGATGATCCAAGGATTCCCGCTTCGGCTAAATATGCAGAAGGTACGATCTCATTCAATGCTGACACCAAGTTGCGTCCGTGCAATCAAGCGCACTCAGTGCTATGCTGAATGCTGATGCAGCCTTTGCAGCCCAGCTATGCATCCCCAAATAACCTGCTCAGGACTCTGGGCGCAGAGCTTTCATAGATATCTGAGTGCCCTGCGTTCACCTCCACGATGCCGGCGAATCCCACGATCTGCAGCCAGCCGAAGGCGGGCACCTGATTGAGCCGGATATTAAGGGTTTAGAGCTGAAGGTCCCCTATATCGGAAGTGCATTGAAAAGTGTGTCCATGGAACTTTTGCGCTTGTACTGGCAAGGTTTCAATCCCCTCTAAACTCTTGTCTTGACTTCCCCAAGCGCCGGGACGAGCCTTGGAGAAAGCGCTCAGGCCATTGGGCACGTCCGCGAACTTGATGTCCAGGTACTTGGAGAGGTATCCCGGGAACCTTTCAGGTTTTGTCCGAGGGCGAATCCCTGAAGCTAAATCCCAAAGGTAAGCGACCCTGAACCAGTTATCAGGCGCGCTTCATGAGCGAAGCGAGCCTTGGGGCTCAGGGTCGTTTAGGGAGTCGAAAAGAAGTCGAGCTCCGTGAGCTTCCAAGGCAGTTTTAGGAGTGTGGAAGATGCAGAATCAGCTGCTATGTAGGGTCCATGTGAGGCAATTTGGCATAACTAGCGCTTGGACTTAGGGCAGGGCAGTCAGGAAACAAGCAACCTGAAGCCCCACAAGCACATGTGCCTGCAATCCAACCCTATGTAGACCCAAATGCGTGCACCGCTGGACGTGAACCCCAAAGCCAAACAACTCACGGCCCCCAAGCCCGTTTGGCGGCTTAGCTGCCTGCATCCTGATCAACACCCGATGAAGGCCAACAAACGCAACAAGAGATGAGTGAATGGAGATCAAGGCACCCTAACTTCGGACAACGCGTCTACTGTACCATCTATTACCCCCGAGCCCCCAGCCCCCAAGCTCAAATCAGACCGAAGCCCTGATGCTCCGCAAAACTGAACCCTGGAAGTCGCAAAAAGAGATTGTCAGCAAGAAGGCGGAGGATAAGAATGCTACTTCGAAACTAGCGTAACTAGTAACTGGTATTGATGGCCACCAATAACAATAACAACGGGTCGTAGACTTGTTACTGTTGTCAGGCCTCCAGTACTCTGGCAGGATGTAGCCGATGGTGGCGAACATGGCGACCTCAGGGCTTCTTTTAGGGGATCCGATGCTGAGGCTGCGAAACTAACTACTCAACCTTCCATCCGGCACCCTGTGCGACAATTTATGACTCAGGCTCAATGTCGCTTAGTCCGCCAAGCAGCGCGTCCGTGCTTCAGCTCGACCTCACGTCGGCGCTTGAAGTCCTTGGGTCCCGGGAGAGTAGCTTCCAGTACGGTCGGTCCCTTTTTCCTGCTTCGGGACTACCAGCAAAGGGGACCCCTTTCTGTCAGAAACAATACAAATTTGCGGGCGTGCACTTGCAAAGCTCAACCCATGGAAGGCTCATCCTGGCGAAGCCCTCAACACTTGAATCCTTTAAACCCAACCAGGCAACCTAAGACTTATAGCGCAAAACCCTCAGCTCCTCACAGCCATCCTAAGTCCAAGTAGCCCCCCCAAATATGAAAACACACGAAACTTCCGGCGGCCGGGCGGCCGAGACGTTGCCGCTTGCCGACAGGCCGAGGGGATCCCAGAAGCCGACGGGGGGCTGCACCTGACACATGTCCGTTGCTTGCTCATGTTTTCTTTAGTCCTGTCGTCTTCATCACCATCGTCGTCATCATCATCATCATTGGTAGCAGCAGCAGCAGAAGCAGCAGCAGCAGCAGAAGCAGACGCAACAGCAGCAACAGCAGCAATGGCAGCATCGTCACCACTATCTTCATCCTCACCGGCTTCGAAGCCGTCATTGCCGCATACAGCATCATGGCCATTATCGTCGCAATCACCGTCGTCACCATCTTCATCTCAACAGCTTTCTCGCCACGGCCGTCTTGAACATCAACAACCTCGAATTCGCCACCCTGGTTCACCCTGAAGTTTGGGATTTGGGCCAATTTCGGATTTGAGATTCAAGATGCGGGTGTCGGGGCTTTAGAATTCAGACTGCGTGTGTAGGAATTCAGTGCTTAGGGTGAACGTGTTGGACTTCTGCCACGGCCTAACTCCTAACCTATGAGCCTCTGAACCCCTAAACCCTCAAACCTTTCCACTTCCGCCACGGAACGCCAGTCTCATCCTCGAATGCTCGCAGAGGGGAGTCAGTGTAGTTGGCCCAATCACCCCAGGCAGAGCCTTCCGAGGAGCTACAGAATCCACTATGCTTTAGCCATATGGACCACTGTGATGGATGGACGCTGCATTTGGGATTTCGAGTTTGGGGGGGGGGGGGATTACAAGAAAACATCGGAAAGACGACCTGCGCCCTTTTGTTCGGACACGTTTTGGTGTTTCGAAGGTTTCGGGATGTTTCGGGCTTATGTCGGGCTTTGGCCCGAGGGCCCGAAGTACGCTACCTAGGATGCTGAAGAGTTGGGGAATGTTGGCCGTGCAAAGTTCTGGGGTTCCTGGGAATGCATGCTGGGGTTTCGGGCTGGCGCAAGTTTCTGGAGTTTCAAAGTTCGGGCTTTGTAGGCGCAAACTTGGGTTGAGGATTCCTCCAAGTTCAACTTCAGGGCTTGGGGAGCTTGGTGTGTTTACGGGCATCAAGAAGAGGGGGTCGTTTGCCAAAAGAACCAGCTAAACTTCGGTCGCCCTAGCCTGTCAAACCGTCCTGGAAGAACATGCCAATGATGGCCATCCTGACGAGTCTCGTGTTCGCGCGCTCAACTGCTGCAGGAGGACATTCGCTTCTTCTTCAGCCCTCATTATGCACCCGAGGCTACCATGCCCTTGTACCTATTGATCGGCCTTCCAAAGGCTCAAGCACGAACGCTGTTTCCCCCCTCGCTCGCTCTCTCTCCCCCCTCTCGCTCTCTCTCTCTCTCTCTCTCTCTCTCTCTCTATCTTCTCTCTCTCTCTCTCTCT